CTCCATTTGCTGCCACTAGTGGCTTGGAAATCACACATTAACTAGATCATAGAAACAGCTATTACTGACCGGCTGGGTATGGTGTTGTCTCCATGGTATGGTTTTCTCTTTGAGGAGCGAGGTGCGGTGGGCGACGGGGCAGCTGGCCGCTCTGGCCCTCTAAGGCCTTGAAACACCGGGTGGTTCAGACACTGTTCTGTCAGAAAGCGTTCGGTGGGGTTCAGGCAAAGCAGGTTCTGATACAGTGAAAAGAGGAGAGTCATGCCACACTAGAACAATAAAACTCATTCTTAATAACACTTTGCACTTGGGGGTGATATGACATCTGCAGTTTATTTTAAAATAAATCAACAGCAAATATATCACAACTACGGGAATTCAAAAGGAAATACTGTTCTCTAAAGAATTTAGCAGACCGTTTTACCTTCATTAAATCCAACATGAGTCCATTGATGATGCCCAGGTACCGTCTATCAAGCGTTTGAGGATGACTTACAGAAGGAAACTGCAACAAAAACACACACATATATAAATTTAAAAAAGAGGGAGGACTAAAGAATAAAGCAGAACAATCGCATAATTCATAACAAATATGGAATACTTGTGATTGATTAATTGCATTAAGATGTGAAAGCATTACAATAGGCTAAAGCATTCGAATTACTAAATAGAAATATATAAAAACTGAAACTGAAACAAAAACTCAGTTAAACATAAAAAGTAATATTTGAAAAAACGACAAAAGCAATAAAAAAAAAATCATTGCTATGTGCATTGCTATGGGTTGCGTCTTGCTTTGGACTTGACTGATAAACTGGCATTCGCAAACTTCATGCTTTCTAACCTTATCTCAATTTTTCCCCCTTTATGTTGCAATTAATTTGCTTAACGTACATATAAAATACAAGAAGTTTATATCAGTAGTCCCATATTAATAATTATAAAAAATGTCTATCATTGTTACATGTTTACATCTACCAATGTCTTTATACAGTGTGTGCATATATAAAGAGATAGTGTGTATCTTATTATATAGTATACAGTATATAGTAATTGTAATATTAGATATTAATGATGATAGATGTCCCTTTTTTACATCTGTGCCCCTGCTCCTGAGAAAGTCTCTGCACATCCCCGTATACATTGGATTGATTTTAATAATGTCAACGTACTTGAAATGTGCACCAAGCACTAGGAAAATACAAGTATCGGATCAGAACTCAGTATCGGCAGATACTTAATATTCAACGACTATAATCGGGGGCACAAAAAACCTGATAGGGACATCCCTAAAAACAAAGTACCATTTAAAATGTGACTTGAGTGTCCAAAAGAGTCCAAATGTATGTGTCAGTGTATGCGTATGTGTGTGAATATTATGTACTGTGATCAGCCTTGTCAAGGCAAAGCCAGTTGTGTTTCACACTGGCACATAGCGATA